CTAAACTTGAGTAAATTGTCTTAATTTGCTGTGATCTGAATAATACTTTCTATAAAATTTTAGAATTCGTTTTGACTTTGAATCACCTGAACCGGTTTACGTTAAAAAAAATCAATAAAATATTTCTGTCTTGGAAAAATGATTTTAAAATGTTTATGTACTTACAGTTACAGCGAAAATCTAATTCGGAACAGACCTGGTAGACTATCCTTGAAAACCCCGCATAGTGTGATAAAGCTTAGATGTCATTTAAGGATTAGCATTTTTTTACTATCATATTTTATAAGTAATAAGTAACGTTTATTTAACAGTTCCAATTAGCAATACAATAAGAAAATTTGCGTTACTTTTACATTGTGAGTGGGGAAAATGAAAATGCACTCATTCTTATTCTGCTCAAAAAAATCACTAACTACTAACTTTATCCATTAATCCAAATTTATATTTTAAGCTGATAAATTAATGAAATTAATTGTTATTATAGCCTGAATAAATCTTTTCTATATCAATATCTTTTATTCAATATTTTCCCTTCTGTGAATTTTTTTTTTGATATTTCTGTCAGTGCGCGGCAAGAATTTGACATTCCGAGGTCTCGCGTTACGGCCATGGGAACAGAAAGAGTTCGAATTGGATTTGGCCGGCGCAGGGGCTTCCCCCTCCCCCTCCCCCGCCGCACCGCCGTCTCCCATTAGCGCTGCTGTCAGAGGTCCCAGGGGATCCGTTGGGGAGGCATGGCATCAAAGGCCCCCATTGACAGAGCTGCCGAGTTGTTGTCATCATCTGTCCACGGGCGGCTCCTTTCAGCTCCTTTGAAGTCGGCTACAAAATTAATTGCATGCTACACAAATCCCTCCTTGGCCCATCTGGCAAACTAAAAACTAAAAACTCTAAATCAACAATCATCATAACTATAACTTTGTGCTGGCCCAAAGGGAAGGGGCGTGTGTGCTGTCAACATGCTGCCAGTTGCTTTGCTCGCTTCATTTCCCTCCCCTCGGAATTTTCAACACTTTTGTTGGGAACACACTTGACTCTTGCCATGCCAAATCCCACGCAATACACACAGAAAAAATTGGGTTAAAAATAGCAATGCTGTGTTTGAAGTGGGACCTTTGGTAATCTCTGGAGCTAAGGAATCGAGCTCAAAGTTCTTACAGTCCTTATAAGATGTATGCTTTCTGTGTTCTATTTGTAGAATTACTTACGTATTCGATCTTATTTCTTTTTTACATTTTTCTCAACTAATATTTTATGTAAAATATACAAAAAGGTATAATTGTTATTAGCTAAATTTATAACTTGTATAGTTTATTTTAATATTTGGTACTTTTGCGTAATCAGATTATTACAAAATATATTATTTTTATTTATGAATGAAAACCAGGGTTGGTGTCCTCTGGGGGAAGGAATTTGAGCACAAAGACCTTTTAATCCTTATAAGATGCATGTTTTCTCTGTTCTATTTTAAGAATTGTTTAAAAAATCGTTTCGTTTTTCTATTTTTAATTTACAATTCACACTTTTTGTAAAATATTACAAAATTGATATTTGAATACCGCTTGAATTAAAACTTGTATAGTTTGTCTTAATCCCAGATTATTTTTTCCCTTACATTATTAAAAAAATGTATTATTTATGGAAGTTTGAATAGAAAAACGTGGTTCTAACTGTTAAATTCTTGTTCAAGTAAAAAATATATTTTTTAATTATACAAAATTCCAATTCCCCAATTTCAGAAACCTAGTATTTTTTTACAGTGCATCGGCAACACGAACATATGCAATGCTCCCCATCCACCCCTCACATGGAGTTTCCGGCTTTTGTGTGCATTTTGCACTCTGTTTCAATTTAATTACTTTCGAGTTACGCAACCAGGACAGGACAAAGTTGGCCGGGATGTAAATGGAGCAGTAGCCGAATGATTTAGATGTCCTCAAAGTCCACCGCTGCAGTCTTCAATTTAAAATTCATAATTCACAAATTAAATTAAATGTGAGGGAAATCCTCTGCCGAAATCCTCAGCGAAGGATATCACAGTTGTTGGTGCGAGCGGAGTGCCCAGGATTCGTTTGCACAAATTTGCATTTATCGATTGGAGGAGTCGACAGGTCCGAGCGGAGGCTTTTCAGATTTCTGCTTTTTGCTGTTGTTTTTTTGGTGACACACAAAAAATAACAACACAATTTGCATAAACGTCAACAGCAGCAAAAGAAAAAGAAACAAAGTGTGGCAGCTGTTGCAGCAGCAAGGAAAAACAACATCGGAATAAGTAAGTAGGGGTACAAGGACCGGATAAATCGGACGGCAGGATAGGATGGGAGACCTGATTTTTAAGTTGGGACAGAGAAGCCTGCTGTCAATTTTATGAGCTGGATCAAAGTCCACAAACATCAAAATATAAGAAGTGAGTTATCCCTGATTGGCTTCCTAGAAATAAATATATAATCTATCCTAAGTTGGTTCCAAAAAGAAAATGTAATGTTCTAAGGATAGATTTAATTCAAAATAAAAAAAGAAGGAAAATGTTAGACTGAACAAAGGCTTTCTTCTTGCTTTTCAATTAGGGTAAAAAAATAAATAAAGGTTCCAAAAGTATCATCATTAATTTTCGGTCTTAGAAGTAGTGTTTCAAATGTTAAGAGCTTAAACTGGAAAAAATGTTTGCCCTGCATGTTTGTCCCTAAGAAAAATATTTAAAAAAATACATATATAAAATTAAAAAAGAATTTTTAAAATATATAATTGATGTAATTTCCTGTCACATGTTTTTCAGATATAATAAGTCAAAGATTGCTTCAGTTAGTAGATGTAACCTTCTTGCTGATTTACAAATAATCGGCTATCCGATGGTAACTTGCTCTTAACATTTTTGAATACATTTTAAATAAAAACTAAATCCAAAATCGTAATAATAAGATGGTAAGGACAGTATTAAATGGTTTTGTAACCATGCAAAGGTACTTGATGCCTAGTTAAAACACACGTAGAAGCACACGGTTGCGTACTCACTCTTATTACTCCCCTACCGACTGGAAACAAGTATGTTTGCCAAATTCCCAAACTTTCCCAACAAGTCTCCTTATGCCCCCTATTTAAGTACCAAAAGTCCAATTTTGTTGACCAAAAAACCCTTTCCCACACTGCACATGAATATTTTTTGGCATAACTTTATTGTGGCTGTCACGGTTATGACCGTTGTTGCTTTTGTTGGCAACTTTAAAATGCATTCGAACACGGTTAAAAGTTGTCTGTGTATGTGAGTGGGTGTGTTTGTGAGCGTTCAGGGGGCGGAAAGTAGGCGTGGCCCAGAGGGCGGGAGCAGCAGGAAATGTATCCCATAAGGAGTAGACCAGAAACAGAACAGAGCGGAAGGCACTTCCTGTGGAGCTCTGAGTGAGTCAGTGTGTGTGCTCCTTTGCATCGGTCCTCAGCACTGTCCTGGCTCTATCCCCGTCCCGCTCCCACTCCGCACCCTCTCGCTCGCTCCTTCCGCTCGACTCGATGCAGATAAGAGGCATATACGCTTGTCAAGATTTGCTTTGATGTCTTTTTCATGTGCCCGACTTGGGTGCGGCCTGCTCCATGTCCAATGCTCCATTCCAACACGGTGAAAAATATTTAGGTCGGAAATATATTTGGAAAATGCAAGCTTACTTCCAGTACAGCATTAACAAAGCTTTGTCCGATTTATTTTTATTTTCGTGTAGCTTTTGTACAAGTTCAAAAATCTTGATAATTTTAATTACGATTCCATTTGTAAAAAATTTCACACATATATTTTGGACGTATATTATTTTCCTTAAAACCATAAAAAAGTTGGTGAAATTACAAATTGTTAATTTAAAAAAACTTTTCATTTTATAATGCTTGCATTTAGATTTTTACTATACGTTTAATATATTTGAAAAATGCAATGCAGCAGCAAAACTTTAACATACAGTTTTTTGAACGTATATTATTTATATTAAAACAATACAAAATCTGGTGAAACTAAAAATTTTTAAAAATCTTCACAGTCTATAATGTTTGCACCTAGATTTTTAAAATAAAGTGAACCACTAAAACTTGGAATAAATTCTTTTGGGGTTTAATTGTATTAGTTATTATTCCCTTTAAAGAAATTTCTGCAGTATAAAAGCCGACGAATAACAAAAAAAAAAAATTCAGAAAATTAAAATTTGTTGGATAGCTGCCAGAAATGTCTATTCTAGTGAAATTTTTGTGTAAAGTTTCATTTTTAAATTTGGTTTTAAAATGGTTCTTGAACCACATTTATAAAGAGGCGCATTCGGGATAATTTTTCCTCCCAGTGTATGCCTCTGTTTCTGCTTAGCTCTACCGCTCTTGTCTCTTGTGTGGGTTGACAACAATTAAAAAGTGACGGGCACAACAAATCGCCAGGAAGGGGTGCGGATGCCAAGGGGTGGCGGGTCTACCAACTTAAGTAGCAGCAAATACACAAAAGCAGAATCTCCTTTAGAACCATTTCAATTGCCTTTTGTTTATGCGAGAGATTTCCCCGGCCAGCCCCTCGAATTTGCTTTGAAGTCGGGCATTTCCATGGGTCCGCCACGGTGTGAGCAAGTTTTATTTTGGGTAGCGAAGAGATTTTATTAGCAAAGGGTTGGGAAAGCGCTTTGAAGTTCAAGTGTAGGCGCAGCAGCGGCCCCATTGATATATTTATTTCCACACACAATCATTCGCCTTGTGGCCGTCCCAAATTGAAATATCGCATCAATTTGCCATGCCGCCGTCGCGCTTTGTAATAAAAGTAAATAATAATTTAATAAAAGGCAGCAAAAACCACCGCAACTACAAAACGAAACACCGAAATGCGGCGCAAAAAAATCGAAAATCGAGTGAGCAAAATCAACCATTAAACGCTGCCGGCAAAGAACAAAGTCGAGGCAACAGACCGGCAAAAAGCCGACAACAGCTGGCCGAAAAGCAAAAAGCTGAAAGCGCTGCTCGGCGAAGGGGCGGCAGTATCGCCCTCTATGTGTCAGTTGGCCGACAGCAGCCCACCGTCGAATCTGCCGCGCATGCGCAGAGCCCCGATGTGTGTGGTTTCCAGTGCTGCCAATCGAAAGCACCAAGATTCAAGTAAGCGGATCAAAAAGGTTCCACATTTATGATACAAATAAATTCAATTTTATTAATACTATCCATAGGGATATCAAACAACAATAAAACAGGGTTTGTTTGCTTACATTTTATGATACAATGGTGTATAATGTTATACGTTTGTGTCATGTGATTCCAGTTTTAGGACCAACGGGGAATTCCATTTTTATTAAGTACCTTTATTAAATAAATTTAATAAAGGAAATTAATATTCGCAAGTCTCTCACTTCGCCATGTAATCATTAAAAGTTATGTACAAGCGATATTACCTTAGATGTAGAGGTAGATCTGTAGGTTGGGAAGGTCTGTAAGTTGGGACAGTCAGCTGCCTTTGATGTTTTCCACTTGATATATTTATTTTTCTTTTTTAAAAACTCTATACAAAATCAATAACATCATTTATATAAATGAAGTAAGGTTAGAAAATAATTCGATATAAGCATTTTAATTTTAAATGCAAAAATCTATTTCATGTAACTTGGAACATCATTCAAAAAAGTACTGTCTTACCAGATAAAATGGACAAATTGGCAGCACTGGTAGAGCGCGGTTTGAAGTCGTTCGAGATGCCGATGCCAACCGCTTCAAATTGATTTGAACGAGCGCAAGAGCTTTTGGACAAGTTGATAAGAGCGGCAATCCGACAGCACCGTTTTGCTGTGGTTGTTGTCGGTTTTTAATTTTGTAATACCCTTTCCGAGAGTATTGTCAATAAATAACTAACTTTAAGGGTAGTTTCTGGCCGTAGCGGCTAAACGGCTCGTATAAAACGCGCGCCGTTTTTAATGAAGATACCTTAGAGCACCAGAGTGGGATACCAAACATTTGAACTTCGAACGCTATCATATGAAAAACTTATGAACTAATTTCTGTCAATGTCAGATTAAAAAAAAAATATTCATTTTGTTCGAGACACATTATTTGACATCAGTCACTCGTAAGATTTTTTAATGTATTTTTTTCTAAACCGATATTTTGTGCCAAACGCGTACCGGTTTTTCTATTTTTATCATGCAACAACTAGAAACACTCCCTGTGGGGCACGGATAGTTGATAATAATAATAAATAAATAATAATAATAATAATTTTGTTAAAGAAAATATATAGTTTCCATGCCATGCCAGTGGTAGTCATATGTAGATCAATAAAGCAAAAATTATATTAACATAAATTACGTTTTTCGCGTCAAATACCTATAGCCCCAATTTCTTATCATAAAGTAAGTTTTATAAAAAAAAATCTATTCCATTCAAAACAAAAAAACTTGGGTTTCAAGGTCCAATTATGTTTAAAAAAAATGGTTGCCATATACCATTTTCAGCGCTATACATTTATAACTATTTTCTCGAAGATTTTGCAATTGACTTCAAAGTAATGGTAAAAGTTATATATTTGCTATTTCCAACCAAGCTTTTCTTACTATCCTTACCCCACTCTCCCCCTATTTAATAGTTAACTTAAAAATAAATTGTCACTGTAATAATATCAAAAACTTACGAAACTTTTAAAAATTACACAACAAGAGGTATAACGTACCCATTAAAATCGGAAGAGTACACTTAACTTCGACTTGAGAAGATCTTCGGCCGTGCTTTATCTGACTTTTTTCGCACGGGTGGCTTTCGACGTGGCTGACCTGTCCGGGGGATTCGACTCTCGGCCGAGATGTCGGCGCAACTTCAAAAGGCGTGTGATGGGCGAATGTGTGAGGTGGCCGCCTGCGGGCCGGGCTGAAATGAACATGCGCACAAGCTGCGGAGGGGCGGAAAAAATTGGGAGGAGTACCTGGAGGTGGAGGATCGGGTCTGTCCAGCTAATCAAGCATCAACTTCATCATCATCATCGCGGATGCAGCGTGAACAGTTAGTCATATAGGAAATGCATGGGTAATCGGAGGGAAAAGGAGCGGCTTGCTTTGATAAAATCGAGATAAATATAGTTGGACTGCGTTGAGAAACTTTGAGAATGAAACGCTATGAGTTTACTATTGTTTTCTTACTTTTATATTCAAAAGTATTTACTGAATAATAAGTTAAAATTTGTAAAATTCGTGATTATATTAAATATCTAATCGATATTCTAGGTTTGGCTTAAACCACGATACAGTGCTTAATCTTACCAATTGGAATTATGTTCCCTTGAATGAGCCTATTATTTAAAGTATTGTAAATACAACAAATATTAATTCTTCGTATGTTATTACAATGAATTTTATTATATTACATTGTTCGTACTTCACTAGCGCTCATTTTAGTTCTTAAGCAAATAAAGCATTGAGTTAAAAAATAATATCTAAAATATTTAAACACTACCTTTTCTAAAAAACACCTTCGATAGATCAAACAATACTTTTTACTTAGAATCAAAACCAATATATCGTCAATAAAATAAATTCGTTTTCTTTCAGTGCTTTAATACTAATTACCTTGATTATTTTGCAATTGGGAGTAAAGTAGGAAAGCAATTATTTACGTATTAATAAAATTTGCATTTGTTTTCAATTTGCTCAGTAAATAAACCCGAACAAGTGCAAACCTGTTACAAACCATTAAGTTACTTTCATATATAAAAAACATTTTATGAAATGAAGGCAGCATTCGGAATTGTCGAAAAAAGTGTCATATTATTAGTTGTTATATTTTTAATTAAAAGTTCTGATTCGCTGTTTAAAGTGACCAATATAAAATGCCAGTGCTACGACAAGACCTTTTGCGATTTTCCGCAGTGCGAGTTAAAGGTATTGGGTCGAGGAAAAGTTGGCATATTTATCTACACCAAGATTTATCAGCTACCCGTAAAAAAAGTGCTTGTAAGATTATAGTTTTTGAATGCCAACAGTAACTACAATAGTACTTGCTTATTTTCAGGTCAATCTAAGCCTATTTAGAAAGTTTAGTGGCTATCGGCCCTTCATGTACAATGTCACCGTGGATTTCTGCGATTATATCAGGAATCCAAAGCGATTTCCCTGGTTTGGCGTAGTCCACGAAACAATGCTCAATTTCACCAACGTAAATCACAGTTGCCCATACAATGTGCTTATAATTCACTATATTTTTACAAATTCAAATTAAAAAACATTTTTTACCATTACCAGCACGACCTCATTGTATCGAAGATGGTTCTAAGTGATATAATGTTGAAGAAGACCCCTTTTCCAACCGGATCGTACATGTTCCAACTGATCGCTGGCAATCCCAAGTGGCAGGGCATCACACAAATCATGACGGATATTGTTGAGACTTAAGTTTTATATAGATAATTCATATATTTGATCCTTTAAATTACCAATCCTTTGGACTTTCAATTACCATTATCTCTAGCAGATGAAATTCCGTCTGCGCATGCGTGAGTCCTTTTCCTCAGTAGATGTGACCAACGTGTCGTATGAGTTATGGCAATCGAATGGGCACACGTGTAGACGCCAGTCCAATGGCCAGTAAATCAAACTTTTTGGCAGGGCGTGTAAACAGTGTTATAAATCAGAAAACCGCAAGGCACCCACCAGCGACCATATTGTCCATGGAGGAAGTCAGACCACCGGGTGTACGAAGTTGGGGAAAGACGCCCATGCAGACGGGAAAATGTGGAGGCGGATTGCAATGTGCCAGGATGCAAGTGACGCATAAAGCTATTAACATATTAGAGGAACGCAGGGTGGGTGGATGGCACATTCAGTGCATAGAAGTGCGTGTCTAAGATTTAGAGCAGTCGGAGCACCCAACATGGGAATTTAATTAAACCCGAACACTAACTCAGCAAAATATTTTCATTTGGCCATGATTTAGCGTTGCTGAAATTTTGAATTGCTTCTAGTGGTTAGAACTTATTTTTCGTAAGCTAAAACATAGCTTTAATACTCCACTCTTTACACTAAAAAAACGATGAAAAATCAATGAAAATTTGCACACTGAATGTAAATTTTCGTATTACATATTTGAATTTAATACAAAAACTTAACTTTTAATACTAATCATACTAAAATTCTTGATTTATTTTGAAATTATTTAAATCAAATCAGATAATATTTTACATGATGCTGTTCATATTTACTTTAAATATTTTTGTCATTAAATCAATGTTTAAAATATTTGACCTACTATATATTTACCTACGATTTATATAATTATTATTTTCATATTTAAAGTTAATACAAACCACCATTTACTTGTATTAAAAGTCGCGTTTTTTTATTTAGTTTAAATATGTAACTCGAATTCAATATGCAGATATTTATTTTCATTTTTTGTCGTTTTTTCAGTGTACAATTTATAAGCCTAGTTATACAATAGTGACATTAATCCATTTCAAATCAAATTCGTTGCAACCAAATGATCAAAACTCTTTTGTTTAAAATTATATTTGTTTCGTCTAATCCCAACTATTTAATCTCATACCCTTTGAAAATGTATTCAGTTTCTAAAAAATGGCCAACTTTCAATTACCCCTACAAGTGCTGAGCCTTTTGCTCCTCTTTCACAACGCCTTACAACAAAACTTTTCTTCCCAACTGGTGAAGGAAATGGGTCAACAGACGAATGAGAATTATGCGTTACCAGTGTTTAATATAGAATTAATTCTCTACCAAATCCATGTCGCCCAAGTGATTAACAATGATCCCAATTTAGAAAGAGACTTGATTATAGGAGAGGGAGCCTCCAAGCAAGCAAGCAAGGAAATAGAAAACTTGGGATTGATATACAAGAAAGCCTGGAGGTCCAAATTGGAGATGGTCAATAAAGTGGCGGTGCCCCAGGAACCCTTGTCAAAGAAGTTAGATCTGGTTTCCGACTTGCTGGTGTCAAGTGCTAAGAAGTACGATGTAGGTAGAGATGTTAATGACTCAAAAACGTCTTCCTTGAACAAATGGCTGTCGAAAAAACAGGATGAGGTTCAGGCCAAAATAGTAGAACTCAAGAAGCCACAAACTGGTAACAAAATAGCAGCCATCAGTGGAATGTCGGTTATTCCCGGTTGGATTATTCAATTTGACTCTCAGGTTAACAGATATTTTACCAAGGGATATGGAACAGAAAAGTCGATAGAACCATTATGTGTTCCCATGATGCACTCTTTCTCCTTGTTCCAAACCATGGCTTCCAACGAGGCTAATGGTATATTCATCCCTTTCATAGCCGCACATATGGGCATGTTGATACTTTTGCCGAGAAAGGGAGTTACTTGCCAGGATATATTGAATAACTTAGACAGCCAGATAAATGCTGAATTGAGTTTTTTCAGGAGAATTCACTTGATACTGCCCATATTCAAGTTCGACTTTGAATATGATATCAGCAAAATTCTGGAGAAAGTAGATACTGCTGGCATGTTTGATAAGTTCAAGTTTAGTTCGAAGACCAACATTAAAATCGACGAATTCCCGATTAAAACTTTTGTCCAATTTAAATCGAATTATTCTTTGAGTAAGTTAAATATTTTTTGATTAACGTTTTTCCTGTCTTATGTTTACTTATATATTATTTATACTTTCCCGTAGATAAAGTAAATGACATTAAAACACGGAGTACTGAAACCTTTGAAGTGAATCGTTCATTCGTCTTTGTCATCAAGGATAGAGAAACAATATATTCAGTTGGTCGTATTGAAAACTTGGATGGACTGGCTGCTCAAGTGAATTGTTAAAAGATCTAAATGAAAATATACGAATCAATACATTTTGTAATGATTTTATTTGGTCATATCAATAGATCTGGAATCATTCAAATTCAACCCTTTGAATAAATGAATATTTTCTATTCACCATCTATATAATATAAAAGTTTTCTGTTACATTTTCATTTAAAGATTGTAATTTTAAGCTTTTGCGAAAATGGGGCTCTTAGTTCTGGGGGATCTTAGTTCTCAAGCATATGCCAACAGTTTTGTAAATATTGACAAATAGTAATGATCTAAATTTTTTCATTAAAAATTCAGTGTTTGAAAATAGTAAAATGTAGAAAGATATGTGACACAGAAAAGCTTTGAGAGCTCATGAAATGCGGCCGTAATTCGATTTAAGTTCGGGTAGAGACTGACGAATGGATCGGCTGATGAATATGGATATGACTTGGATGGGGCTGTCTGGAAATGGAACCGGGTTCTCGGACGGGGATGAGTGCACACACAATATGTATAGCGAGTGCATGCAGAGTGTTCGCTGAGTGATGTGCGCATGGATAATGAAGCAATGACGGCATGAATGACTGAATGAGGCGGCAACCTCTATAAGATCGGAGGGTTCCCTCAAAGGGGCAGCCGCCGATGCACGACTCCGCCAGCGACTTGAGCTCCGCTTGCGGCTTGAGCGTTTAATTAAAAGGCAACAAAAAAGGAGAAAAAACACGAAATAAAGGAAAATATATATAAAGAAAAAAGGCGGCATCTGAGGCGTCGGCCGGCAGTTGATCATTATCAGATACGGCAGCGTAGATAATGCAAGATACGATCGTGGTCTTGGGGGTTCGGGGGGTACTAGATGCTTTTTCTGGGCAGCACTTTAAAAAATGATTTTTACTTTTTGCCCGGCCCCAAAAGTAAAGACCCCACCCTTCGCTATATGCCAGCTGTCTGTAATTTACGAGTGGAGCCCAGAATAAATGGAAAACTTTATTTTGGTCAAAAGCGTGTGGAAAAATAAATGAAAATGCATAAATTATTATTTCTTTGCCTGCGGTGCGACCAAGATTTCCACTTGAGTTTGGCGGCATTACATGATTTCTGTGTGTTGCAATTTGATTATTTATTTTGTTAAATGGTTTCAAAAGGTTATTAGAAGTTTGGGGGCGTGATTGCAGGTGGTATTAATTTTTAATTTGTTTAGCTCAGCCAGAATAATATTTCATCACAAATCGTTGAAAACACCCCAATGTTGCTTTGATTGAATGATAAACATCTATTATATTATGGTTATTTTGCAAGCGTTAATGGGTAGTGACCCGTTCTAAAAATTTAATTACTTAAAAATAAACTGTAACTAGACTCTTGTATTTTGAAAGATATAATCGTTTTCATATCAGGAAAATTAGAGAAGCAGATTTTCACTGAATACCAAATGCAAAGTTAAATTGAAAAGTCAAACAAATATAATTAAATTTTAAGCTATGCAACTCTAAATATTGTTGATGATTTCTCGGAAAACCAATAAAAGATAATATTCTTCAGATATTTGAGATAGTAAAAGATGCTTCAAAGATGCTTCGTTCCCCAGAAGAATTCCCCAAAGGCCACAAACCCCTCCCACTGCCCACCGCTCCCCCACACTTACATCGCTTTATAGCTCCCATTTAATCTATCGCTTCCCATCATGTTTTTGGCATCATTAATCTGGTCATTAAGTCCCACAGAAACCATGGGCCCGATACAACAGACCCACTCTCTACAGATACAGATACGTTTGCCGGGCCTAATCGTTTGATGGACATCGATGGACGGCGGACTCTTGTAAATGTAAAATCGTAAAATCCATTCGAAACAGGCGGGCAAAAAGCGCCCAAAACACTCATAAAACGGCTGATTGAAATGGCTTTATTTCGTAGACAAAATTTGTTGCTTCGTCGCTGTTGTTGTTTGGATAGATTTTTAATGATTTCGGCCTAATAAGCAACAATTGGTGGCACTGCCTTTCCCCTTTTTCCCTTGCCCTTTCCCCTTTCAAAGTTTCAATCAATGCACAGTTACAATTTCCGCTTTGGGGCAGCAAACAAATTTTCCTCTGGCACCAACCAATATGCATCTTTTATTTTTCGTTGTGGGCCCGCGTTTATCAAAATTAATTGGAAATTTTCGTCGTTTTTTAACGACTTCTGGGTAAAAGTCATTTGAGCGCAGAGAGGTGGGGACTTCAAAAGGCCTGTTGCACATGTTACCAAGGGACTGAAGATCTCTTCGGGGGCTCATTTGGTTCTACGGCCTGCCAGTTTTACGGCCTTACAATATAATTTCCTGTCAGTCGGACGACGAATGCCAAAAACTACAATTCATAATTGCTTTCGAAATTTGTTTATAAACGCGTCCCACACATCGACCATCGTCGGGGGACAACTTCATTTGAATTTTACGACAAGCATACTATAAAATATAAATATTTATGACCATCACTTACAACAAAGTTAATTTATTTAATAGTTTCACGATGTACACGACCCTTCCTATAGGCTTATGATATTTATTTGATTCTATAGATATTTACGACTTCCAAAAATGTATTTTGAAACTCTTCGCCGAGCTGATCGCTGAAAACATATATTT